TGCTGCTGCTGCTGCTGCTACTACTACTACTCCTGCTGCTGTTGCTGCTATTCCTGCTTCTGCTGCTGCTGCTGTTGCAGCGACTCCTGCTGCTGCTGCTGCTACTCCTGCTGCTGCTGCTGCTAACCATTTCACTTTCTGCGGTGCACTTCCAGACGCTGAGGCGGAGAGTCGGCGGCAGCTTGCTGCTGGGCTGCTGCAGCTGAGTCTCTCCAGAGTTTTGCTGCTGCTGCTGCTGCTGCTGCTGCTGCCACACATGCTGCTGCTGTTCCTCGTCAGTGATGCGCACTGCTACCAAATGCTTCGGCCGTATCCTTACGTGCTGCAGCAGCGTAGCAGCAGCAGCAGCACCTCCTTCTTCCTTCCGCCCGCCGCTGCTGCTGCTGTTGCTGCTGCTGCTGCTGCAGCTGAGCTGCAGCCCCTGCTGCTTCCGCTGCAGCGCGAGCACCAGCGTTGCGGACAGCACAAAAGTCTGCAGGTTTGCTGCTCGTCCGCGCAGCTGCTGCGGCGCGCCTTGCTGCTGCTGCTGCCTTTTCTTCTTCTTGCTGCTGCTGCTGCTGCTGCTGCTGCCTTTGGGCGGCGCTGCGTCTAGCTGCGCGTAGACCAGCTTCAGCAGCTCTTCTGTCTCCGTCGGCGGCAGCAGCTTTTGTCCCCGTTGCTGCTTCTTCTTACTTTTTTTCCTGCCCCGCTGCTGCTGCTGCTGCTGCTGCAGCAGCAGCCTGTCTGCTTCGTCTAGGACAAGGAACTGCAGCAGCGAGAAGTTTTGGGCGAAAGCGAGGCCCTCAGCAGCAACTCTGTCTCTTTTGCTTTGCTGCTGCTGCAGCAGCAGCAGCAGACGCTGCTGCAGCTGCTGCTGCAGCTGCTGCTGCTGCTCCTCCGCCCCCTCCGTGCCGACGGGGCCCCCAAGCGCAGCAGCAGCAGCAGCAGCAGCAGCAGCGTCTGCTGCTGCTGGCTGCTGCTGCTGCAGCGCCAACAAACGCCCAGGAGTTGCCACCAGCAGCAAGGGTTTGCTGCTGCCCAAAACCCTTAGCTGCTTCTCAGGAGATAAACCCCCAACAACAGCAGCAGCACGAATGGGCGTGTACGCGCACAGCTGCTGCAGCACCTCCAGCACCTGCAGCAGCAGCAGCAGCAGCAGCAGCAGCAGCAGCAGCAGCACCAGCGGGGGATATGAAGTGGTAGACAAGTTTAAATTGAGGTGTCTGTACATGACAGCGTTGCAGCATTCAAGTGTACAGACAGACAAATCCATAATATGAAATAAATAAATTAATTAAAATAAATAATAAAGTATATAAATAAGATAAATAAATAGATAAATAAATAAGTAAATAAAATATAATTAAAGGAAAAAATAAGGAGAAAAACGTGAGATGGACAACTTAAGCGTACCTTTATGATGGCTGCACTTCACTATTTAGACCCTAAACCCTAAACCCTAAACCCTAAACCCTAAACCCTAAACCCTCACCTGCAGGGCGAGCTCTCTGGTGGGCTCCAAGATGAGTGCTGCAGGTCCTGGCTGCTGCAGCTGCTGCAGCAGGAACTGCTGCCTCTTTTGCTCCAGCTCCTCCTCGCTGATCTCCTGCTGTTGCTGCTGCTGCTGCTGCTGCTGCTGCTGCTGCTGCTGCCGCTCCTGCCACTTCTCCAGCCGCCTGGCTAGCTGGCTAGCCAAGCAGCTAGCTATGGGCAGCGCGAAAGCTAGGGTTTTGCCGGAGCCAGTTTGAGCAGCAGCAACACAATCTTTTCTGTCTCTTGCTGCTGGCAGCAGCAGCTGCTGCTGCACCGGCGTGGGCCGCAGCAGCTGCTGCTGCAGCAGCACTCGCGAAACAGCAGGGTGCAGCAAACAAATGTCTCCTCCTAAGTGCTGCTTCCACTCGTGCAAACCCTCATCTAGGGTTTCCACGAGTTCGTAGCTGCCATACATGCACTCAAATGCTGCTGCTGCTGCTGCTGCTGCTGCTGCTCCTGGGTTCCCCCCTGCTGCTGCTGCTGCTGCTGCTGCTGATGCTGCTTGAGCCGCCGTGGGGCCCTGAAACTCGGGGCCCAGTCGCTGCAAAGCATTGCTGCTGCTGCTGCTGTCGCTGCTGCTGCTGCTGCTGCCGCTACTGCTGCTGCTGCTGCTGGGTTCCGTGGCTGCAGACGTCTCAGTCAGCTGCTGCTGCTGCTGCTGCTGCTGCGTCTTTCGCTTTTTCTTTTTTCTTTTTTCGGGCTGTGGGGCCTCGCCATCCTCCGCCCCCCCCTGCTGCTGCTGCTGCTGCTGCTGCTGCTGCTGCTGCTGCTGCTTCCTTTTTCTTTTTCTTTTTGCTGCTGCTGCTGTCTCATTTTTTGTCTCCTTTTCCTCCACCAGTTCTTCAAGCCCCAGAAAACCCTCAGCAGCAAAACTGCTCGGCAGAGCCACAGGCCGCCAGCGAGCAGCAGCAAACGAGATGGCCATCCCTAAACCCTAAACCCTAAACCCTAAACCCTAAACCCTAAACCCTAAACCCTAAACCCTAGGCGCTGAAGCCTGAAGCTTGAATTCGGGCGCGACCGCGCCAGCCAGAGCCGCAGGCGACAGAAGCAGTGGAAAACCCTAAACCTAGGCCCTAAACCCTAAACCCTAAACCCTAAACCCTAAATCCCAAACCCTAAACCCTGAAGCTAAAACTCCAAACCCTAAACCCTGAAAAACGCTGAAGGGCTAGAAGGCCCTAGGCGCAGCGCAGAGGCACGCCCCACAGAACGAGGGTTTACCGCCTAGGGTTTAGGGTTTAGGGTTTAGGGTTTAGGAGGCGGCGAGCAGCACTTCATTAAAAAACTAAAATTAAATTTTTGCAATTCTAAACCCTAACTAAATACCACTAAGAAGGCCCGGGGCCCGCAGCCAGCCCCCCGGGGCCCCAGCTCCAAACCCTAAACCCTAAAGCCTAAACCCTCAACCCTAAACCCTAAACCCTGCCAGCCCTACACCCCAAACCCTGAACCCTAAACCCTAAACCCTCAGCTTTCGGTTTTGAATATATTATTGTTTTTCCTCTTTAACTTTGATGCCGGGGCACAGCTATGAGCCCCGTTCCCCCGTCGGCCGCTCAAACCCTAAACCCTAAACCCTAAACCCTAAACCCTAAACCCTAATTATGGACCCCAGTCCTGCTGCTGCAGAGACTGCAGCAGCTTTGGGGCAGCTGCTGGAAGCTGCTGGGGAGGAGCTGCAGCTGCTGACGGAGGAGCTGCTGCCCCCGAAGAAAGCAGCAGCAGCAGCAGCAGCAGCAGCAGCAGCAGGAGCAGCAGAAGCAGCAGCAGCAGCAGCAGCAGCAGCAGAGGAGCGGCAGCAGCGGCGCAAGGAGCTGCTGCTGCAGTGCACAAATAGCTGCACACTTCTCTCCAAAATGCTGCACTGCAGCATTCAGCAGCAAACCCTAAACCCTAAAAATCAAAATATCAAAAACACTTTTGTCTGCAGCAAACTCCGAGCCCTAAACCTCCAAACCCTAGCCCGCGAAACCCGCACTCTCCAAACCCTCAAACAAACCCTGCAAACCCCAAACCCTAAACCCCAAACCCTAAACCCTAAACCCTAAACCCTCGCCGCCGCGGAGCCCCAGCCACCGCCCAAAGCGGCCGCAGACCCAGAAGGCCCTGACGGGCTAGGGTTTAGGGTTTAGCGCCTAGGCTTTAGGGTTTAGGGTTTAGGGTTTAGGGTTTAGGGTTTAGGGTTTGCTTTGAACCTCTTTTTTCGTTTTCTAAATCGATGAAAGGAGACTTCTGACCGTTACCATTTATTTATTTATTTTTTATTTAGCTTTTCTAGTTTTATTTATTTATTTACTTATTCTTTATTATTATTATTTATTTATTTATTTATTTATTTATTTATTCATTTGTGTTTTGCTTGTTTTGCTTATTTTCTTTTTGTGTCATGTAGTGTTCAGTTAAACCCTAAACCCTAAACCCTAAACCCTAAGCAATTAAACCCTAAACCCTGAACAATTAAACCCTAAACCCTAAACAATTAAACCCTAAGCCCTCTAGGGGATGTCTCTTTATCACTCCAGCGGTTTGTCGAGAGGAACTCAAAACCCTAAGCCCTAATTCAACTCAACTCTTTGTAAACCCTAAACCCTAATTCAACTCAAGCCTGTCTAAACCCTAAACCCTAGACCCTAATTTAACTCAACTCTGTCTAAACCCTAAACCCTAGTTCAACTCAACCCAGTTTAAACTATAAACCCTAAACCCTAGTTCAACTCAAACCTGTCTAAACCCTAAACCCTAATTCGCCTCAACCCAGTTTAAACTCTAAACCCTAAACCCTCACTCAACTCAACACTTTCTAACTCATAGACCCTAAACCCTAATTCAACTCAAAGCTCTCTAAACCCTAAACCCTCATCTAACTCAACGCTGTCTAAACCCTAAACCCTATTTCAACTCAACCTTGTCTAAACCCTAAACCCTAATTCAACTCAGCGCTTTCTAAACCCTAAACGCTAGTTCAACTCAACCTTGTCTAAACACTAAACCCTAATTCAACTCAAACCTGTCTAAACCCTAATTCAACTAAACTTTGTCTAAACCCTAGACACTAAACCCTAGATCTACTCGACCTTGTCCAAACCCTAAACCCTAATTCAACTCAAACCTGTCTAAACCCTAAACCCTAGTTCAGCTCTTACTTCTGTCTAGATGCTAAACCCTAACCGTAAACCCTGATTTGCCTCTTGACCCTCTCCAAACCCTAAACCCTAAACCCTAGTTAAGCCCTTCCTAGCCATGCCCCGAAGTGACTCGTAAACCCTTATTACTATTGGCGTCACACGCAACATAATTAAGGGTTTAGGGTTTAGGGTTTAGGGTTTAGAAGTAGGGTTGGATCTAAGCCAGCAAGGGTTCGGCTTAGGGTTGAGCTGTGCGCTGGAGCCAATGGTTAAGGGTTTAGGGTTTAGGGTTTAGAGTTTGAAGTTTCTGCTTTGGAGCACAGTAAGCAACATTGAAACTCGAGGATTTAGAGCCAAGAAATGAGCCTTTTGGATTAGGGTTTAGGGTTTAGGGTTTAGGGTTTAGGGTTTGGTGGCTGTGTGCCGACGGTGGTTTGCGGTCGTTGGCTACCTGGCGCTAAATGAGAGTTTAGAATATGAAAGTGAGAAAAGACAAAAAGGAAAAGGAAATAACAGTTGAAAAGTTTAATTTCTGCGTGGAGTTTGAGGGTTTAGGGTTTAGGGTTTAGGGTTTAGGGTTTGCTTCGCGTCTGTCGACACCGGCCCGCCACCGCTCGCCGCCGCGGCTGTTTGGCTCTTTTCTTTTGCATTTTCTCTTTTTTATTTCTTTATTTTCTTCATTTTTCATTTTAAATGAATTAAATGAATTAAATGAAATAAATAAATTCCAACTCAAGACTGCACCTCCGAAGAAGCCTGCGCCGTCGATACACCTGAGCTCGCCGCCGCGCGCAACCCTAAACCCTCGCTTTCCGGCGCGAGGGTTTAGGGTTTGTGGTGTGCAGTTCAGGGTTTGTGGTTTGTGGTTTAGGGTTTAGGGTTTAGGGTTTCTGGGCGAGTTTCACCGTGGCGCTCGGGCTTTGCGCAGCGCGCCCCCAAACCCAAACCCCAAACCCTAAACCCTAAACCCTCATGGCGAGCTGCCTGCCGCTGCGCCGCCGCCCCCCGAAGCCCTGGGATCGCGACCGATCCCGGGATCGATCCCGGGATCGATCC